GTAAACTTAGGTTAGAATTGTCAAAAGCCATTCTTTGGTATTATGAGATGAATCAAGGCAAATATCTCTCCTTCGGGAGCAACTGTCATCTTTCAGGAACAAAGCAGAAAAGGAACATATCAGTAATTTTTTTAAGATTTATTTTATTTTATTTTTTTATTGGAAAATCAGATATACAGAGAGGAGGAGAGACAGAGAGGAAGATCTTCTGTCCGTTGATTTACTGCCCAAGTGGCTGCAATGGCCAGAGCTGCACCGATCTGAAGCCAGGAGTCCATAACCTTTTCTGGGACTCCCACATGGGTAAAGGTCCCAAGGCTTTGGGCTGTCCTCAGTTGCTTTCCCAGGCCACAAGCAGGGGGCTGGATGGGAAGTGGGGCTGCCAGGACTAGAACCAGCGCCCATGTGGAATCCCGGCGTGCAAAGGAAGGTCTTGAGCTGCTAGATTATCTCGCTGGGTCCCATATCACTAAGTGTAATACAGGCTGACTACTTTAAAAATAGCTTTAACACAGCTGTGAAGCAGGTTCAGGTTCTAGGATTTGGCATCATGAGTTAACAGTTCTGCCAAGGAATAAGGTTCAGTGAAAACGTCATCATTAGCTGTGCTTTTCAAAAGGGACAACAAGGAATTTTCAAGCATATGTGGATCAGAATTGTTCTCTATTACTGCTGTTTCAGGAGCAAAAGAGATGCCGTAGTCCTTACACAAATAATCACCTACAATTTACAGTTGATATATTTTCTTAATCGTGAAGTCAAGGGACCTGTTAAACTTTTGAAACTGGGAATTTATTATTCACTGAAAAATTTCATGCGCCACCACATAAGACTGCACTCAAAACATGTTCCTTTGTAATTGATGTATAAATTCTGCCCCCTTCTCAACATCAGCCAGAATGTTGAGGAGATCGTTAACCTGGAGCTTTGGATCTGTACAGGAAACTCAAGGAAGGTCACATTTTGGTCCTTTTTTTCTCTCTACAGTGGGCCCATGGTCCAGAGGGAATATACCTTCTTTGTCACAATGACTGTGATTTTTCCAACATTACTGTCAATTCCTGCTTGGGAACCATGCAGATCAGGCACACACTCTTCACGTATTTGGTCTCTGGCCCTGTCACACTTGGCCATTGGCTGGGAGAGAGGGGGACAGATCCTTGTGAGGGTTTTATTAGCCAACCCTGTTACAGGACTCAGATTTCAGTTTACTTTGAACTACTTGGACTGCCTTTATGTTCTAACAATAGTAAATGTTTTAAAGGGAGATTTCTCTTACATATGTGTTGCAAAAGCCCTGAAGTATTATTCAGCTTTTACTTTCACTTATAACTATCTAGGGAAGTTTGAAGTACTTTAGAATAGGAAGTAGCTCTGCTAAAAGGGCAGTGACACACATAAACAGAGAAGTGAAGAGGATATCCAGTAATTTCTGCATGGAAGGAGGTTCCTGTGGTCTGGACACAAAGGAATAGATCCAGGAAAGCAGGGAGAGCTGCCAGGAGACGTGTGCCAGGTTTCAGAATTAGCAACAGGATACAATACAGCTTTCCCACTTCATCCTACAAAATGCCTTGCTAGTTCAGATACTGACTCAAGCTACTATGCTGACTTTGTATAAATTATCCATATTCTGGATATGATCCATACAAGTTTGTTTTTCGGTGTTTTAGGTTTTGCCAGACTTCAGCTCTTTTTGGGGTGCAGAAGGGAGTTTGGGTCTGTCAGCTGCAAACAAAGAGATAGTACCACTTCAAATAATTCTATAGAATGTAATGTTCTGACACAGATCTACATTGAGCAAATGACAAGTGGGACATTAACTTTGAGGAAAGAACTACCACATGTGCCTTATTATTTTTTCATGATATTGTTCTATAGGCACAGGGATTTCCCCTTGGACCATGATGCCCCCCACGCACTGTTTTCCCCCATAATATTCCAGTAGTATAGTCCTTCAGCAACAATCACAAGTTCAACATTCTGTTATTTATAAATATGGAACACTTCATGAATTTGTGTGTCATCTTTGTGCAGGAGCCATGGTAATCTCTGTATCATTCCAATTTTAGTAAAGCTGTGCCATAGCAAGCACATATCCCATTGCTTTAAAATGTACTTATATCAGCTTCTGCCTCCCCTCTTTTTAAACTCTTTTGAAAAGCTATGGTTCAGAGAAGTTGAGTTACTTGTAATCAAAAGTTTCATGCAGAATCTCAAATAGTGAGTTATAGATGGTTCTTTAAGTTGGATTTTTGCTATTTAAAAGTCTACCTTCTTACTTACAAAGTTATTCCTTCTCTTGCTCTTTGAGCCTCTCTTTTTGGTGCTATCAGCATTTTCTGTGGTTTAAATCCAGTCTTGATCCTTTACCTGAGGTTTTATGAAAGAGAGTTTTTATCATCTGGTTTTACTGTTCCATCTTTTAATTACAATAATATTATCATTAATCTTTTAAATTAAGGATTTTATATTATTTGGAAAGTAGAGTTACAGACAGAAGGAGACACAGAGAGATAGGTCTTCCATCCACTGGTTCTCTCCCCAAATGTCTGCAACAGCCAGAGCCGAATTAACCCAAAGCCAAGATCCAGGATCCAAGAGCTTCTTCTGGGTCTCCCGTGTGGGTGCAGCTCCAGCTCTTGGTTCCAGCTTCTTGCCAATGCAAACCATGGGGGGTGGTAAGGCCAGAGTAACTGGATTGCTACCACACATGTGAAACGGACCTGGACCACGTTCCTGCCCCAGCCTTCACTGCTCTGGGCATTTGAAAGGTGAACCAACAAATGGGAACTCTCTGTCTCTCTCTCTCTTCATCGAATCAACAAACATGAAAAATAATATATTAATCAAGCATGCAGGTCTTCTTTCTGAGCTATTATTTTGTTGGCAAGCATGACAGGAAATAGAGGTCATTTCTTTCTGTGACAACTTCCCAGGTATAGATGTATTCTTTCTTTTCCAGAGGAATCGACTCCTTGGAAGCACCTCTTCACAGGAATTGTACTGATGGGGATCCTTCCAGCCCCAAACCCTGCAGCAAGTCTCCAGGCCTTCCCGTTGCTAACCAAGGTTTGTGGAATATTACTTAAGGCAGTCTCCTGCCAACCACCCACCTCCTATGCTGAGGGCTTGGTGACGCCCTGGATCATCTGAAGAATCACGGTGGCCTGAGTCTTTCAGACCTTGCTGCGACCCAACAGAAACAACAGGAAAAAAAAAAATGGAAGAAGATCCATTGTGCATCATTCAAAGACTGGTGACATAATTCATGACTGGCTTAGTCCATTGGCAAAAACACAACTGCTTAAAACTAGAGGGACTGACACTGCAGTGTAGCCTGTTAAGCCTCAGCCTGAAACACAAGTACCCTCTACTGACAACAGCTGGAGTCCCAGCCATTCCATTGCCATGGAGAGTGGGAAACCCAGACACAGTTTCCCACTCCAGGCCTCTACTGGAGTTTAGGAATTCAATCAGGGGATGCAAGATTCCTTTCTTTGTCTTTCCCCCTCCCTTTGTAACTATTTCAAAAAAATGATAAATAAAAAAAAAGGCTATAAAGAAGCTGTATTATGAAATCAGGGAGCATGTGAAAACGTGAAGCTGAAAACAGGCAAGATGTAGAATCACGTGTATGGTATGCCATTTTCATATCAAACAGGGAGAGTGAGTGTAATAAAAATATAATTATTCTTAGTCTGCATGTGCATATAACCAACAGCAGGGTCTAGAAAAGTAATAACCTAAGACTTTGAAAATATTGAAAGAATTCTCATCGAGGTATTTATTTATTCATGTCAAAATTTTATTAATTAATGAAATGCAAGTTATTAAAATGCTTACAGAGGAAAAATCAATAGCACAGAAATACCCATTGTGTACTTTGGAAATATTGGCCTGATATGAGAAAGACTTTGCCAATATTCTATCAAACATCACCCTGAAGGGAGAAGATCCTTTAAGCTGATTTCAGTTTCTGTAGGGCAACAAAGGGTAAAAAAGTTTACATAGAGGAACAAATAACGGGCAAAGAAATTCTATTATGTAGGTAGCAGAAAATGATGTAGCCACTTAACAAACGCATTGCATCAGTAAGCTAGAAATGCAGAATTCAGGTACATTCACATGGTCACACTTTAGTAGCAACAAATGTTTTAAAGGATAAAAATTTTAAAGTATGAGCCCAGACCACTTCCAGATCAAAGATCGACTCCCAATGAAACTGTTCAATATATCTTGACAATGGGATGCTGGACTCTGCCATTGTCAATGCCCGCAATGATGGATTTATGATTGTTTATTGTAATAATATAGGGAACCCAATAGGCATGTTGGAATTGGGAGGGAGTAAGGCAAATCCCAGAGCCTATAGAACTGTATCATAAAATGATAATAACAATAAATAAAAATAAAAGGAAAAAATTGCATGGGATAAAAATCATAAAGTGCTTTACAGAGAAAAACTGTTACGCATCCTACCCCTACCATTACTTTGCCACACTGCTGCTCAATAAGAAGCTTTTATTCATTTCTTTGTTATTCAAAAACCAGAACCCTGGAAGCATAGACCTTAAGGAACTACACACTTGCAGGGCCAGTACGGTGGCTCAACAGGTATATCATCCACCTGCCAGTGGAAGCATACTGTATGCTCACTGGTTGCTGTCCTGGCTGCTCCACTCCCAATCAGCTCCCCGATTACGGACTGAGAAAGCGGCCACTTGGGTACTGAACTGGCAGATGCACGATCTCTCCTTTTCTATGAAAATCTGCCTTTCAAAAAAAAAAAAAAGACTAAATCTTAGAAGAAAAAGTGTCTACGTGTAAAAGGAAAGGCACCGCGATAACGTTACCACAAAGGCGCAGCTAACAACGGGGCGGCCCCCCGCCTCACGCACCCGCCGCCCCACCCCCTCCCGGACACGTCGCCGCCGGTGGGGGCGGGGCGCGACGCGGCTGCGCAGGCGCAGTGGGTCCCTCGGCCGCTCCTAGCCCGGGGGATCCTGGGACTGGGCCTTTCCGGAAGGATCGGCTCGGCGTCCTGCGCTGATCCTGTGTTCCAGGCTGAGGCGACAGGCCCAGGCCGCGTTCCAGGCCCTGGCTCGGAGACTGGCCGCTGGCCGTGGCGACGGGCCGGCGACGCAGCGAAGGGCGCAGCCGGGCGCCGAGGCGTGTCCGGCGTCGCCGGTGAGCGAGCCGCAGAGCGGCAGGACGTGGCGGCGCCTCCCCCGCGGCGGCGAGCGGATCTGCTGGAGGAGCGGCGGCGCAGGCCGGACGAGGTGAACCGGGTCATTTCCCTGCCTTCGGGTGATGAATCATCAGCCCGAGAGTTAGCTTTGAGGTCCACAGCCTTTTGTGGTCCAGCTGCTGAACGGTGTGCAGAGGGCGACGGCCCTGCTGTGTCCTGAGGGGCGCCGCGGTGACCGCCGGCCCTCGGTCAGGGAAGTGAGCGCCCTCGTACCAGAGGAAGGCTTTCACATGAAAGTGTCCCTCGGTAACGGCGACATGGGCGTCTCTGCCCATCTGCAGCCTGGCAAGGCAGGAACCACGCGTTTCTTTACCAGCAATACTCATAGTTCTGTGGTTCTGCAAGGCTTCGATCAGCTAAGAATAGAAGGATTGCTTTGTGATGTGACTCTGGTCCCGGGCGATGGAGATGAAATCTTCCCCGTTCACAGAGCCATGATGGCGTCTGCTAGTGATTATTTCAAGGCTATGTTCACAGGTGGAATGAAAGAGCAAGATTTGATGTGCATTAAGCTTCATGGGGTGAACAAGGTTGGTCTGAAGAAGATCATTGATTTTATCTATACTGCAAAGCTGTCTCTTAACATGGACAATCTTCAGGACACCCTTGAAGCCGCTAGCTTTCTGCAGATCTTACCTGTTTTGGATTTCTGCAAAGTCTTTCTCATATCAGGAGTCTCATTAGATAACTGTGTGGAGGTTGGACGAATTGCTAACACCTACAATCTCATAGAAGTGGATAAATATGTGAATAATTTCATCCTGAAGAACTTCCCTGCGTTACTGAGTACTGGAGAGTTTCTCAAACTCCCTTTTGAGCGGCTTGCCTTTGTGCTCTCCAGTAACAGTCTGAAGCACTGTACTGAACTTGAACTCTTCAAGGCCGCTTGTCGCTGGCTAAGGCTGGAAGATCCTCGGATGGATTATGCTGCAAAATTAATGAAGAATATTCGATTTCCACTGATGACCCCACAGGACCTCATCAATTACGTGCAGACTGTAGATTTCATGAGAACAGACAACACCTGTGTGAATCTGCTTTTGGAGGCGAGCAATTACCAAATGATGCCCTATATGCAGCCAGTGATGCAAACAGACAGAACTGCCATCCGATCCGACTCTACTCACTTGGTTACCTTAGGGGGAGTTTTGAGGCAGCAGCTGGTCGTCAGTAAAGAGTTACGGATGTACGATGAAAGGGCACAGGAGTGGAGATCTTTAGCCCCCATGGATGCCCCTCGGTACCAGCATGGCATTGCTGTCATCGGAAATTTCCTTTATGTGGTTGGTGGTCAAAGTAATTACGATACGAAAGGAAAAACTGCCGTGGACACAGTGTTCAGATTTGATCCTCGGTATAATAAATGGATGCAAGTTGCATCGTTAAATGAAAAGCGCACGTTCTTCCACTTGAGCGCTCTCAAAGGACACTTGTACGCAGTTGGTGGCCGCAGTGCAGCCGGCGAGCTGGCCACAGTAGAATGTTACAACCCAAGAATGAATGAGTGGAGCTATGTTGCAAAAATGAGTGAGCCCCACTATGGCCATGCCGGAACAGTGTATGGAGGCTTAATGTACATTTCCGGAGGAATCACGCATGACACTTTCCAAAACGAGCTCATGTGCTTTGACCCAGATACTGACAAGTGGACTCAGAAGGCGCCGATGACCACCGTCAGAGGCTTGCATTGCATGTGTACGGTTGGAGACAAGCTGTATGTCATCGGAGGCAATCACTTCAGAGGAACGAGTGATTATGATGACGTCCTAAGCTGCGAATACTACTCACCGACTCTTGACCAGTGGACACCAATTGCTGCCATGTTGAGGGGCCAAAGTGATGTTGGAGTTGCTGTCTTTGAAAACAAAATCTATGTCGTTGGTGGATATTCTTGGAACAATCGTTGTATGGTGGAAATAGTCCAGAAATATGACCCTGAAAAAGATGAGTGGCATAAAGTTTTTGACCTTCCAGAGTCACTGGGTGGCATTCGCGCTTGTACCCTCACGGTTTTTCCCCCTGAAGAAAACCCTGGCTCGCCTTCTCGGGAGTCGCCTCTTTCAGCACCTTCAGATCATTCTTAGCCCTAACGTGTAATATCCTTGCCGTGCATCATGGATAAGCACCTATTTCCCCTTCAGTTGTATCTGCTTACAGTGATTGGTAGTTGTTAGATAAAAAGGTAATGTTATTTGTCTTGCTTGGCTTAGTGTGTTTATCTAATGGTTAACAAATGCATTCTGAAAATGTATTCCACATAGCCAACTGTTAACACGTGAAAGAAGTTATGTAGAACAATGTTTCAATTAGATGTCTTTTGTGGTGTTGTGTAAGTCAAATTGTAGGTGACTGTAGTAAGTGTGTAATTATGTTCAAATCCTTCCAAGTTTTCATCTTTGAAAATCATCAAAGGGAGGTTTGCTCTAACTAAAAATAATAAATGGAAGGTCACCAATTCTTGGCCACCTCCCTCTTTTCAAGAGTTTTTAATATATCAACTCATTAGGTTTTGTGGCTGCATACAGAATATGTGACGTTTCTTAGGCAGATAGGGGAAATAGCAAGATATTAATCAGAGAAACCAGTGTAGCCCTAAGTCAGTGCTTGTTTTCTCCCCTGGAGACACAGAATGAGTGAAAGAAAATATATGCATGCCTTATAAAAATATACACACTGATAATTCTAAAATTAATTGGCACTTTAGCCACAATAACATTGTTCTTAAATTTGAATTTATTTTCCACAAATCAGCTATTTAAGTGGAAATTTAGTATCAAAATAAAAATCTGTTTAGTCATACTGAATTTAGATAGGTACATTTTACAACATATTAAATTGGCAACCATATTTGCCATCTGGCTGAATTTGGCTATAAATTGTGGAGCTTAAATTTTTGTGCTCGTATATTTTCTTGTATATTTGTTTTCTTTAGAGTTGCTTTTATAAACATTATTTTGGAAAGTTCATAGAATTTGCTTTTTTTTTGCTGTATATGTGCTGCTGAAGCGAGCACGATGGCTTTTTTTTTTTTCTTTCTTCCTTCCTTTTCAGTAAGGCTTAGGATATGACCAAAAAAAGCACAGAAAAACATTCTGAATGAAACTACGGGATTTGAAGTTCAGTCACTGTGCCAGGGTTATTTCCGGATTGGGTGATTGCCCTTGGTGCCACACCAGCCCATGTGCATCATGAACTGTGTGGTCTGCCTTAAGGTTATGATCTGAGCAAGCAGTAGATACACTCTTTTGTATCAAAACAAACAAAAAAATGTCCTTTTGGCCACATCTCAAGGACAGGACCAACTTCAGATTCCCTCGGAAGCCATCTGTAGAAAGGGCAAAGCACGGTTGTCCTGCAGATGGTGCTAAAGTAGATATGCAGCTTGTTGTGTATCAGTGCTAATCTCTGCTGCTTGAGAATTACATGGGGGAGGTTCTCCTGGGACCTTGTCAGCAAAAGGAGTTGTAGAAGTCTTCTGTAATAATGAGTGATTCTGAGGAGATGGTTTCTGGGAAAAGTTGTTTACCTTGAAAAAAAGACATTTTATATATACATATAGGCTTTTATATGTATATCCCTCTACCTGGTGGACTGTCATAAATCAGGAACAGCTCTAGTGTCAATCTCATAAATAAACTCAGGAACCAAGGTAAAAGGAATTGGCTTCCAGGGATCTGAACTTTACTAACTGCCTGTACAAGTATTGATTCGTTTTAATGGTTTCTATGTTTTCTAAGTTTCATACTATTTTTTTTTAAGGACTCAGTTTTTTATCACTAAAAGTAGCATATTTGGCATATATTTAGAAGATAGAAAAATATAGAAATTGCTGTTAACTATGTATTGAATAGGCAAGAAATGGCATCTTAATCTTTATTTTTTTTGGAAATGAGATTGAATAGTTGTGTATTTCTGGTAGCTGTGTTTTATGTTAGGTCAAATGTTCCTGTCCTTTGCCCTTGTGATAACTATTGCAATTGCATTGTTTTTCATACCAAATTCTTCAACTTCTTTACATAATAAATATAATTTAACTGGCATTTGCCTTGGTTTTTTTTTAATCAATCTGTGATAGTTTTATAACCACAAGGCCATTCAATTAATTTTTGAGGTGAAATCTGTCCATCATTATGCATTTTAACCTTGAGATGATTTTGCTATCATTTTTTATGTAATGTTGATATATTATTTTTTATTGCTGATAATGATATGCTGGGCTGGTACTTGCCCTGCTTTTTTTCTACTGTACAATTTTTTTTTCTGCGAGAAAGTTTCTGTTTCCTGTCTAACCGTGTTGCTTTGTAAGTAAATAATGCTTAAGCAGGTAAACCAATTCTTCTATTTTATATCACCCTGAAGCCTCACATGCCCTAGTGTTCAGCCTTTTGCCTCCCAGTTTTCTGCAGTGTTCTTTGGTATGTAGATTTCTATTATCAGTGTGATTTTGTTTTCGTTATGAAGTCTGATTGGCAATAGTATGAGATATGGTTTTTGCATATTGATTTATATCTGGTTCTTACTAATTCCTGCAGTGAGTGATTGCAGGAATTGCAGGTGGATTCTGTCCTGACTTTAAAGAATAACATTGTCTGCATATTATGGAGACCTAGTTTATAGTATTCACATATTAAATAAATGATTACTTCTGAAAAATTTATGGTAGTGACACAAGGCATTGTGTCTTACAGGTAATATTAAAGGGTGATAATTTTAGGTTTAAACTTACTTTGTTAAAGGGAGATACCTCTTTAATTTGGAGTCCTAAGAAATTAAAGTCACATACCTTCATCACAAATACTTAGCACATATTGAGGTGACAATTTAGTTTTTCTCAGGCCAAGTCTGCAAATTGTTTGGTTTGAAAAAGTTCGCTCCTGCTTGCTCACTCAGATGTCTGCAATGGGTTGACCTGAGTCAAAGCAGGAATTGGAAACTCGGTGCAGGTCTCCAACATGGGAAGCAAGAACTCAAAGTGCTTTAATCATCACCTCTGCTTCTCTGGAGTCTGCTGAAGGCAGGAGGCAAGCTGGATAGTGAACCCAGATATTCCAGTGTTGGATTATGGGTTTGCTTTTTTTTTTTTAGGAAATTCTATTTTAATAATGATTACATGGTGGATTAGGGTGGGAAGGATTGAGGTTTAGGGAAAATTGGGTATATTCATTGCTTCCAAATTTGCTATGTCTTGTTGTTTCTGGGGGAAGGAGAGAGACAGGGAAACCACTCATGACTTTCCACACGTCCCAGGATTACGAGTGTCTGAAACAGAAGAGCAGACTTAACGTACTCTCGCGCACTGCCGCGCATACTGCCAGCTTGTACAAGTAGTTTGGAAGAGAATTTGACCAGACTAGTAACATGACCTTGTAAGTTTCAAACCTTTTGAGCGGTAATTCTGGAGTAAGTGATACAGAATAAGTCTACTCAAAAGATATCCAACTCAGTGTGATGCTCTGATTATTTCATAGTGTAATCTCACCAGACTTCCGAAAAATTCTTTTAAAAAAGAAATGTTTTAAATTTGTCCCACTATGATGTAATACTTTTTTGTATCTGTTTCCTGTAATATCCCCTTATTGGGCATTTATTTGAATGGCTGAATGAGAGATAAAATAAAAGGTAGTTATTTAAGATGATTGCACATAATGTATAACTGTTGAGGTTGTGAGTGCTGAGTGCACTGACACATTCCTAGTCTAGTGTCTTGATAAGAGTCTCTAAGCAATTGCTTTTTCATTTATTCTTATTGTAAAGTCAGATATACAGAGAGGAGAGACAGAGGAAAATGTTCTATCCACTGATTCACTCCCCCAAGTGGCTGCAATGGACAGAGCTGAGCTGATCTGAAACCAAGAGCCAGGAGCTTCTGTGTCTCCCACACGGGTGCAGGGTCCCAAGGCTTTGGGCCATCCTTGACTGCTTTCTCAGGCCACAAGCAGTGAGCTGGATGGGAAAAGGGGCCGCCGGGACTAGAACCTGCACTCATGTGGGATCCTGGCACGTGCAGGTTGAGGACTTTAGCCACTAGGCTACTGCACCAGGTCCTAAGCAATTGATTTTTAAGGGAATTGCATGGCCTGGGAGCACAACACACACATATAGAAGCACACACATACTTTCGTTGAGATGACTGCTGGAGAGCTGATCCAAATTTTCTTAGTGCCATTCCTGGACTGATAAAAATGGTTTGTTGCTGTCATTTTAATTATGTGACCAATAAGAGTAGTATCAACTGTGTATTTACTAATTTTCCAAAGCATCTCAGAGCAAGGAGTTTTCAGGATGGATATGACTGGAAAAACTGGATTGTTTGTGCCTTGTGAAGGGTATCTTGATCCTCTTCTATATACAATGAAGGCGTGAGATTATATTTTATTCAGTCTCAGGACACACTGGGCACACCAGGAGTCATGTGACTCCAGTTTCATGTTCAGCCCCATTTTCATTCGACTTCCATACAGTATAATATCATTCTAATAAAGATTTACAACCTCCTCTGTATACAATAGGTTTATTATTATTTGCTTACTGTTACCCAAAGCCAAATAGCTGAGCCCATGTTTATCTAGGTGAAAGGTAGATTGAACTTCTGATTCAGAATGTGACTTGCTTGTGGAGTACACTTAACAGAAGCAAAACATCCCTACCAGGACTAGGATCGGCTAAAAACTACTTTTTAACTCATATTAAATTATGGACTAAAATTCATTGGGCAGTTTTTGCTCAATTTATTACTCTCATTCTTTAGATGGTAAAATCACAGAGATTTCACAAAACCTTTCATACTTCAAATTTATATTCACACTTGAGGCCCTTATCACCTCATCTTGCAGTTTGGGGAAAGGGGTCTTCTAGCCAGTTAGGCGGGCTTGTCATTACTGACTTCATAAATTCCATCAATTCATCCACAATTCTTGCTTGCTGAGCCTGTGATAGCTTTATTTCCTTGTGTGTGTGTGTGAGAGAGAGAAAAGTGGGTTTTATTAAAGCTAGAAACCTACCACAGCATCAGGAGAGGGCCTTCAGGAGAGTAAAACCCAACAAAATAGTGTCTATGTCTTTTCTTTTTAGATTTATTTTATTTTTAGTGCAAAGTCAGATATACAGAGAGGAGGAGAGACAGAAAGGAAGATCTTCCATCCGATGATTCACTGCCCAAGTGACCACAACGGTTGGTGCTGTGTTGATCTGAAGCCAGGAGCCAGAACTTCCTCCTGGGGTCTCCCACGTGGGTGCAGGATCCCAGGGTTTTGGGCCGTCCTTTCTCAGGCCACAGGCAGTGAGCTGGATGGGAAGTGGGGCTGCTGGGAGTAGAACCGGAACCCATATAGGAACCCGGTGCATTCAAGGTGAGGACTTTATCCGGTAGCCACTGCACCCGGCCCGTGTTTATGTCTTTAAGAACATTTTGAGTGAGTAGAATAACAACAATGAACAAGGTGGGTGGGGAGGACAAAGCCTGTCAGAAGACTAGAACTGTACTCCTGTCTAGCTTGCTCATCGTCTCTTTAACCCCATCACTTACCTGGTATCTGCATAATAGATTCATAGCTGGCATTTGAAAGTATCTCTGTTAAAGAGAGATCCCTCTTTTAACCCCAGATTCCATGTATGCGAGAGGATTTGGGACACTTTGCTGGTACTTGTGGTTGGTGAAACCTCCAGTTGAATCCTACTTCTGTAAAGTTGTGAGTAAGTGTGGGTACAGGAAAGAGAAGCTGCATCAGGATGTGAATAACAATTAGAATTACAGCTCTGGGAGTAACCTAGTGCAGCTAAAGCTTTGGTCTTATGGAGGATGGGAGCAGCAGGGAAATTCATTCAGGAAAATAACAATTGAAGCCATCTTAATTCAGCTACTAACCAGTTTTGAAATACAGACAGGTTTGTAAGTTCATAATCGTAGAGCTATCCATAATACTGCTAAGGAGATGACTGGACACAATGGTATTGGGCCAACCATAAAAATGACCAGATTAGAAGGGAAGTATGTAGAGATGCAGGGTGTTAAACACAGGAAAATGACAATGTGTGCACTCTAGTTTGTCACAGAACTTCCTCTAATTTATGTTATGGAGATTTTTCTCTTTTTTTTTTTTTTAGGTTATATGTTTTCTGTTTTTAGAAGTCAAGATTAGGAGCTGGAACAGTGGCTCAATAGGCTAATCCTCTACCTGAAAGGGCTACCATCCCACAAAGGTGCCAGCTCATATCCCATTGGCATGGGAAATCAGTGGAGAATGGTCCAAGTCTTTAGGCCCTTGAATCCAGGTGCGAGACCGGGAAGAAGCTCCTGGCTCCTGGTTTTGGATTAGTTCAGCTCTGTGGTGTCCATTTGGTAAGTGTCCCAGCAGATAGAAGCTCTTGTCATCTTCTGTCAATTTGATTTCCAAATAAATAATTTTTTAAAAAGAAGCCTATAATAAATGCTTTGTTAACTTCAGCAAGTCAGTAATGTACACTGGTACAGGTTGCGACCGAGCCCATCCCAACCCACACTCCATTCTGGTGCTCAGATTCACCAGTGAGTAATGTGAACTAGCCCAGCCTGATTCGCTCCCAATCTGTGCCAAATGTACACCCATGGGTACCATTCCCTGGCCTGGTCTGGGCTGCTCCCTGCTATAGTTCTTGCACTCACCTACAGGGACTGTGTCCCAACAGAGGAGTTCTCTAAGCTCCTCCATCAGAACCTCTCCCAATGCCCTATCTTGTGCACACTGGTGGGTCCGTGGGCCAGCCCTACTTGGTCCACCTCCTGTCCTAGCAGGAGCAGTGGCCTTTCCTGACTGGCCTAAACCCATTACAGTTTACCAGTCACTTAAAAAAATGTTCATTTTAGTCTACAAAAAAGTAGGGACAGAGAAGACAAAATTTCCATCCAGTGGTTCATTCCAAAACACCTTCAGCAGCGAGGACTGGTCATCACCCTTGGGTTCCCAGTGTTGGTGAAGGCCTTCATACACGATCATGGTTTCCTTTTGACATCGTTAGACTGTCTATCAAAGATATGCCTACTTACCCCTAGAGCATCTTTTCT